TGTAAATGTAAATTTCTTCTTTAATTGTTCAAATGACCTCTGCATTAACATGATATATGCATCGTGATGTATGTTAACGTTTGATTAACTTACAGATGTCCCAAGTATGACATTCTCATCATTCACCATTACGAAATCATAGAATTTTCACATTAATTATGCAAATTAGGTCATCATTTGCATAATTAGTATCTGTTGAAGTTCCGCCTGCCATAGGTTACATAGTATAATGTAAAACACTGTAATTATAGAATTTCCTCATTAATTATGCAAATAAAGTCCTCATTTGCATAATTTACATTTAATTATGTACATCTCTCTCTCAGCTACCTACACACCAAAAATAATGAAAATATGTTGTTCCTCTGGACTTATTGGCTGTTAAACATTTCGCCAGAAAGTGCCCTGCAGTTCCAGAACAAGCCGCTAGGGGGCCCAAACTCACATCACTTATTCCTTATTCTTATGCAAATTAGGTCTTCATTTACATAATCAATATCTACCAATGATCTTGTTGTTCTCAATTACATATGTCTAAAGTGTTTCATAGCCCTAATATGGAATACAGCAGATTTATAGAATTTCCTCATTAATTATGAAAATTAGATCCTGATTTGCATAATTGTATTTTATTCATGTCAAGCATCATTTCAGCTACCTACATACCAAAAATCATGACGATCCATCAAACAGTTGTTCAGTTATCCTCTCTCGAATATTTTTAAAGAAACCATCCTGCAGTTCCAGAACAAGCCGCTAGGGGGCCCAAACTCATGTGACTTCTTCCCAAGCACGAGAGCTACCCATCATCCAAATTTCATGACCCTAGCATGTCCAGATCGCGAGATGTCAAAACCGGAAGTTGCGCTGCAGTACCAAGGGAAGCCACTAGGGGGACCAAAATCTCATCATTTCCAGTTTTCGTCACACCCTACCACACCAAGTATGAAACCAATCCATCCAGGCGTTCTTGAGTTATCTTGTTGACCAACAGACAGACGGACGGACGGACGGACGGACGGACAGATAAACGCAACTGAAAATATAACCTCCATGACACATTTCATGGAGGTAATTAGTAGTCACAAGACATGGATACGGCACACTCCAGTTTTTCAACTTATATCAATTCCGCCTCCAACACAGGGGACAATACAATACTCACGGCTGAGGAAAGTCGTGTAAAGTGCCTTTTCCAATTAAGGGCACAAGATCGGTGGCATGTCAGGCCTCGAACCGGGCACCTCTTGGTTCCGAGTCGAGCACTCTGCCACTACGGCACACGACTTACTTCAAACTCAGTTCTATGAAAATCACTTATTCTCGACCTTTCGGATAACGATTCATTGAGATTGAATGGCATGCTGGTAACTCTCCTTCCACGAACATCTGTGCCTCGGAATCAGATCAACATTTGTCAACTCTCTTTCAATAATATTCAATAGTATCTAATTGAAACCGAACCAAGCCTTTAAGTAAACTATATTACTTTGCACAATTACAGACACACTGCTACATTATTATGTTAAGCTGTGACTAAAATGTTTGCACGAAATCTGATTGCCTGACAGGTATATTGGGCCAAAGATAGGAATGTACAAGAGAATTACTTTCAGTCAGGTTTACTTATTAAGATGACCAACATCTACAGTGGGTGCATCCCTGGCGAATGAAGATCATCTTGTCAGGTGTTACAATGACGTTTCTCTCTCTGTCAAGATGCACCTGCACGTACAACCAACATTTTTGTCACTGCATAAAATACTAATATACAGGTACATGAACTTGATCGTGCCGAAAAGCGACCAAAACTTCCGTAAATAGTTTCATCAGGTTGGTAAGTGACTGAGTAAAGAGAATCTTAACACACAACCAAGTGTTTTTTACTCATAGCCGACGTTTCGGTGACCGTCTGTCACCTTCCTCAGGGCAATTCTGACTGGTTCACATTGCACTGCAGCACAGGTGTCGCTGCTATAGATGCATTCCCAAGCGTACAGTATTTACATATCTACACAAATTTGTGGTTACAGGGAACTGTATCTGTATCTGTCCTATACCTATACGTTTCGAACCGCACTGTGGAGTCTGTTCTCTGTAACTGACTTTATTCAATAACTGACCAGTGTCCACAATTATGTATCCAGGTCCTGTACGTTTGGGACCGCAGTGTACATGGGTCACCTAAACGTCGACTGTGAATAAAACACTTGTAAAAAGCACATCTTTACTCAGCCGAACACGCTATCGGGAATAAATGAAGGCATGGTATTAAATTTTCGTCTTATACATCATTAACATATAATGAACAGACAGTAAAACTGGCTTACCAATTCTAATTAATTCCCTGAACAATCTGGTCAAGTAAACTAACTATTAGAATAATAAGCAAGGAAATGGTATTGCTAAATTTAATAAACAACATAATACATGTAGATGTCAACATTTAATTGCAATGTACCTCCGTCAAACGCATAATCTATCCGGCACTTACCTTTACTTCTTTTCTCCTTGTTTTGGTAGTACTGATAGGGAAAAGAAAAATAAGTAAGATTTCCAATTCCAATTACGTGTTTGTGTTATTAGAAATAAATTGATGAATGCAGAGAAAAAGAATGGACTCTTTCTACCTCTACCTTTGAGTATAATGTTGTGTGTTTTCATGACATACTTAAAAAAAGCAAGAACCAATAACTAACACTCATTAGTGAAACTTACCAATATCTGGGAATTTGCGCTTCAAACCATCCACGACGCTCTGCAGCCCTGCCTCTGACAGAGCCTCCATCAGGACCTCTATGGTAGCAGCGTCTCCCTTCTTCTTCTTCCATTCCTGCAGCATGTCCATGCAGCAGGACTTGTCGTCGCGGTTTCTGCCGGCAATGTTGCTGATGTCTGCATCTTTAAGTCCAAGGTGGAAGGCCAGATCCATCCAGTCTGTGCTAACTTCTTCCTTGGTGAAATAAAAATACTTCTCAACGCCTGAAAAATAAAGTGAAACATACAGTGTTTATTCTTGTATGGACGCAAGATACATCTATTATGCATAAAACGCAAATGGCCACAACATACGTATATACGGTATTATATATGTTTTTTCTTAGTGGAATTAATATTTGTCTTACCTTGCAAATCTGCGCAAACTGCACCGCCCGACGTCTGCAAATAAAAGTCAAATTATATCATTCACTGATTGATGTCTTGCTAATGATATATACATATATATACTTACATGTATATGATACAGTTCAGTGTAGAAATGTATCACAGAGTAGTCCTTGCAATAACATGTTAGCGTCCACTATAGTTTCAAGAAATTACATTTTTCAGTTGTTTCATTGCTGAATATTTACTGAATAGGTGTTATATATTGGTTTTGCTATGGAAGCAGACAGTTTCAATGTTTATTCCTAACAGATACAAGCATGTTGTCTCACCTCTTCTGGACTATCATATGGCACGCGGATTGGCAAACGGCAAAGAAATGTGGACTTCGGCTCTGCCTGTCCCTTTGCCACTTCCTCAAGAGCTGACAATTTCAGTGGTAGTATTTTCCTTTTAACTTTCTGTCTTTCAACTTCCACGCGTGGTAGAGCATAGAATTCAGCATATCCTTGGCCATCTAAACCCTTCTGCGTAGCATCTTTTAAAGCCATGACCTGCATGTGAAGGCAGTTGTAGTTCTGACTGTGGAATGTGATTTGCTGTTTTCTGCTGCTTTCCATGTCGTATGGTGCCACGTTACCGCCGATGTGTATTTCTACTTGTTGTCCTTCGAATAGATTCACTGTGGCAGAAGGCAATGGAGCCTTGTAACCCTCTTTCATCAGCTTACAGCGTCTCTCCTCTGCACTACCACCCAGAGTGCACTCTGCGACCAATTCGTTTGCGTTGTCTTCTCGCTGGAGTAGGATGAACTGTACGGGGCGCGATTGAAGCCATCGACAGAATTTCAATAGGATCGGTCCTAGTTCTTCTGGGTCCACGTAGGAGTCTTTGACAAGGATTACAATCCATCTGGAAATGAGATGTACAGGAAAAATTAAAGATACCACTTCGACCCAGTGAAAAATTAACACACTGGCAAATTTTTAGCTTACAAAACACGAGTAAAACATCAGTAGAACGTCTCCATGGTACTTACTATACTGATATACAAAATTGGCTCAATTACGGGATATATTTGATGTAAAGTTAATCTTGGAATTTGGCGATCTTTTTAAATGTGGTAAATGTGGTTGCGAGAATATAAGTTGTGCCTGAGTTCTCAATCAGTCTGTGTCCATTTATTTGTATTCATTACTATTTTTCTGAATAAGAGTACTTAAACGGTGTCTCCTTCGTTCTTGTCAGTTTCAGATGAGCTTACAATACCTTGTAAAATGGGTGACTTCAAACTCCACAAACTCCTCAGTATCCTGCTTGATGGCATCGTCTGTTACATCTACCCAGTCTTCTGTCCCCTCCTCACATGACATCACCCTCAGTTTGGTGGGTCCCTCATGTTGGATGTCCATGTAGTGTTGAGGATGTGGGACTCGCACTGTGACCGGTTTGTGGAACTGGACTGCAGACTCAGACCGGGACATGGAGTGTTGACGGGTGGGCAGGCAGCAGCATACCGATGATCTTGGCTCCTCGTGCGGGGATATAGTAACGTTCTCGGGCGCAGTTACCACCTTGACTATCGGACTGGTGCCCACAACACCGCGGAAAGACTGGTCTTGTGCCTTGAGGTCCTCCAATGTTTCTTTTTTAATTTCTTGCACCTAAAGTTATAAAGGACGACTATATGTTATGTCATAACAGCACAGATGATCCGTGTATTTAAATATGTACAATTCACTTTAACATCACATCGCTGTAGTTTAGGCCACACCGAGTTAATTTTATGGATGACATCCTCTGAAGACCCCCAAATTAATGCGCGCGGGCGATTAAAAAAATTCCGGCCAAAAATGAAAATGCTACTAAACCATAGGAATACAAAGCTGGTATTGTGAATTTGCACATGCTGGCTTTTTGCGGAATTTATGAATCGACACTGTGGGTATGTACTGAGTTCTTGAGTCGTGGAGCTTCGGTAGCCTGGGTGGCATCCTCCAGAGTTACCGCCTCCGTATTGTCGCTAACTACCATGGACTACCCAGGCCTAGAGCCAGGCCAGAACCTCGGAGGACGTGATCTTCTTTTTTTTTGAGAAAAGGCGAAAATCAATGCGCGCGTGGATGTCATCCATAAAATTAAATCGGTGTGGCTTTATCATGGTATTGAATTTGGCAACAGAATAGCCTTGACCAATTAAAGATACTACCCGTTGGCTAATGACCACAGAGCGTCCAAATGTTAAATATTAACTTAATAGTATACTTCCTTATAGTACTTAATATGATTGAATGTCACTTATAGTATCACTTTTACTAATATAAATACACATGTACAAAATAATGATCATGTTCACAACCGTTGCACTTTGATAAAAATGAATGTAATCCTAACCTGTATGGAGACTTCGGTTGGTGAGGTCACAGTCTGTTCCGGGAAGCTGATTTGTACTGCAGGCTGGGTTGATGACGTCAGCTTAAATCCTTCTGTAGACACATTAAAATTTTCCTTTTTAGGCTGGCTAACGATGGCAAAGATAGAAAAGTGGTCCACTGATACGGCAAGCCAGTCTTCGCTCTGAAATAAAGCAAAAATAAAATAAAATAAAATAAACGAGTACAGCAATTGTTAAAGAGTAGTACTTTCTTCCACATAAAGGCAAATTGTGTAAGATCTAGTCTGGAATTTTACACTCTGAACAATTTTGTCCACGTACTGCGTTAATGGTCTTAATCTTCGCCCATTGTGACCTGTCCTCAGAGACCCACGCGTCAACTTCCGTAGTGTCACCTAACGACGTGTTGTTGTAGTGCAGCTGTGCAGTGACAGGTTTGCAGAAGGTTGTCCCGTGCGGACCCAGCTCTATGATGTCACTCACTAACATCTCTCCGTCCTTCAGGGGAAGAGTGACGTCATTGGGGTCGATGACCTGACAGGTAATTTCTGTTTCCATGGTAACGGCTCCACCCGGTACAGTGACGGTACAAGACGGGGTTTGTAGTTCACCTCCTTCTGGACCCACCTTTTGTCTGTAAGGGCTATGACAGAACATACATACTTTGCATCAAAACGAATGTTTGTACAGAACAGTCAATGTGCAATGCTCATAACTTTCAATGAGTGACGTGGTGTAACAGGCAATGCTTAAGAGCATTAACCCTATCTAGACCGGGGGGGGGGCTAAAAGTGCCCGCTCCAACTTTGATGTCACGTAGCGTCTGAACGGCTAGCGCTAGAACGGCCAAACTTGGTGAATTTTCCTAAAATATTGTTGGCAACAAATCTCTATCATTGGATGAAGATAATAATTTTTTGTGTTGCCATGGCAACGGGTTTCTGACAGGCATTTTTGCTAAATTTAGTAATTTTTAATTTCACAATAGAAATTTATGGGTTTTATGTCAAGTTACGCATGGTTTCTAATATTAATAACATCCCAGATAATTTTATGTAAATTTTACAATTAAAAATGCATAATTCATGCTAATTTGATGACGTCATTGGCCAAAATCCAAGATGGCGGACCATATCATTATAACAGGTTATTTTCCTTAAAATTTCATGAAAACTTCCATTTCTTTTTGCAAAAAGGTTCATATGAACGTCTTTAGTCTGTTTACAATGTATTTTGGGCTTTATCCTAAAAAAACTATTTTTGAAAATTCAAGATTGATGATCCAAAATGGCGGATAGCTTGAATACGCATGACGTCATTTTATGACGTCACCGGTGTTGCTATGGGCAACATAAGACAGTACACCCTAATATTCTGTCATAAACACTTTTGGTAAAGTTATGTTGTATACCATTTAGTTTTCAGGGAATAACCTATCTGGACGGTTTTGGCCAATAAAATCACATTAATGCTGTCATAATGACGTCATATTACGTCATAACGACATTAAAATTGTAGATATGATAAATTTTTACTAGTACACCATCCTCTGAAAATTTGGTGGTCATACGACATACCGTTCTCGAGTTACGAGGGGGGGGTCAAATGAGCCCCCGGACCCGCCATGCTCAAAAAAGCCCGGTCTAGATAGGGTTAACATCTTTGAAGAGGTGATATGTTATGTCAATCCTTCCAAAAATGTGTTAAATCTTCACAAATAAATAAATCATAAACAAGGCGTAAATTGTATATATGAAGCAAATTGTATGCATACCGTGCCTTCAACCTTAATTCTTGCTAGGTAGTACCTTTTTTATGAAAGCGGTACATTTTTTATTAAAACATTATAAAAAAATACAAGCGATGGCAACGCACTCAAGTAAGTAAAACTTATATAACGTTAAGTGTCGCCACCAAAAATAAAGATAATTAACATAACACTTTTTAAGATAACAAATAAACATACACAATCTATGCAAATAATATAAAGCAGACAAGATGGGTCAAATTGAATATGACTGAAAACTATAACATGGTACCTTTGACTGAATATGACTGAAAACTAAAATACAATATAGGAATTCTCAGAAATCCTGATTTTACAGAACAAGAAAGGAAACGATTATAATGCCAAATGTTTCTTGTTCATGATGTTTACTCTGCTGAAAATGTGCGTCTTCATATTGGGCTGGTATTTGATGTAACTTTCGTGTTTTGCTGTAGAAATTCTAAACACTAGTACCACTGAATTAACATGGACATACCCAAGAAGACACCATTTAACCTACCGGGCCAACTTTTGCGCTGCAAAAAGCTCAAGGATCCTTTTCCTTCCCGCCAGGACGCGATCGCTATCTTTCCCATATGGCCAGGATTTAACGTCTGTACTTGCTGCTATGTCCTTAGGGGTCCTGCCGAGCTACACAGAAAACAGCAGTCATTAGACGCATTGTAGTGGCGCCACTAGTGGCGTCGGGAGGCGTAGTGGTAGATCATTCGACTGTGAACCGGGAGACCCGGGTTCGATCCCGAGTCGTACCCGGGACATGTCTGGACACGCGCCCGACGTTGTGCCCTTGGGAAAGGCACTTAACACGACTTTCCTCACTCCACCCAGGTGTGAATGGGTACCTAACTTCGGTTGGGGAAAGCCGTATTGAGTCACCTTGTGGCGCCGAATGGCAGCCGCACAGACCCTTGTGACAGTTCCACAAAAATGTGAAACAAATATGTATCATGTGTATTATTATGTGTATTGTTACTATTTGTGTCATCTGATTGTAAACCCTGCCTCAATTCAGCACTATACGGCTGCGATTGCACGGGTGATGTTTGGCCAACAAATCATTTATTATAATTATTATTATTATTATTGTAGGTATTTTTAAACAAAATATGAATACAGACCGATCGGGTAGCATGTAGTTTCTGTCAAAGAGCAGAATCTGGTATTTAATGCGATTTACGTGCTAACTTAGAGTAATGTTTTGTTTTGACACTCGAAGATGTAAATGCCATAAAATATATTAGAAATATATACTACTACTGCATAAGCTATATAGACCATTGGTCTCTTTACGACAATACAAGTGTCAGCATTTATATCAAATATCTATAAAATCCTAAAAATAAGCATTGATGTCTTTTTGAGAGAGTGTGACGTTTTTCAAGCCATATTTGATATTCTTTACCAACATTGTACAGATGAATATCAAGATATAAATTTGTGCTATATATAATAATAGATATAATAATGTTGGTTCAGGAATATTGTTTTCAGCATTCTATATACTAATCTAAGGTAAGCATGATGGAAACATTCGTCTTGTTACATACACGTGATTTTATACACACGTGAACATAGGAATATGTTAGCAGTAAACAACAGGTCTCACCTTATTCCTTATGTCCACTTATAACATCAAAGAAAAAAAAACATTATCATAATAATCTGGAAACATGAGGGACAAAAACATTCCAATCGCATGTAGTAAGTGAGCACCAGCATTTACCTTATTCTTACTGTCCACCTGTGCTCCAGCCTTCATGAGGAGTTCAGCAACACCAACATGTCCTTCTGACGCTGTGTTGTGAAGTGGCGTGTCCTCGTCCTGTAACGGCAGTAAAAGAGATGATATTACATGGTAAGTCTGTCCCCATTATCATAATAAGCAACTCATACGTGTGATGTTTAACTCTTAAATAGTTTTCATCACCAGTAGTGAGTATCAACACTTACCTGATCCCTACTGTTCACCTGTGCTCCAGCCTTCAGGAGGAGTTCAGCAACACCAACATGTCCCCTTAAAGCTGCGTAGTGAAGTGGTGTGTATTCAAACTGTCACAGCAGGAACAGAGATGATATTACATGGTTAGAGAAGTCTGTCCTCATTGTTCTAATAAACATTAAATATCCGTGACTTTCAAAATTCAAGCATGTCCATCACCTGTAGTAAGTATTAACCCTTACCCCATTCCTACTGTCCACCTGTGCTCCAGCCTTCAGGAGGAGTTCAGCAACACCAACATGTCCTTTTGATGCTGCGATGTGAAGTGGCGTGTGTTCATCCTGTCACAGCAGGAACAGAGATAACATTACATGGGAAGAGAAACCCGTTCCATTAATTTTTCGGCATCACCTAAATAACACCAAATATGCTCTCCATTCAACACTCGAACATGTTCATCACCTGTAGTAAGTGTAAATTTACCTCGTCCCTACTGTCCACCTGTGCTCCAGCCTTCAGGAGGAGTTCAGCAACACCAACATGTCCTCCTGAAGCTGCTTTGTGAAGTGGCGTGTTTTCGTCCTGTGACAGCAGAAACAGAAATGACATCCCCATTGTCATAATAGACAATAAATATGCTTTACGTTCAACACTCAAACACGTTCATCAACTGCTGTAAGTATTAATCGGGAATTGTGATGTCATGATCAAAATGAGAGGTAAATTGTGTGAGTTTTTGTTATGTCATTCTGTATCGTATGTGATATCGTAATATTGTATAGTTTGTTAATCGTCCTTTTATACCCAGCTTTGCTTAAAAAACAGAAAAACTGAAACTAAACTGAAACCTTTACCTGATCCCTACTGTCCACCTGTGCCCAAGCCTTTAGGAGGAGTTCAGCAACACCAACATGTCCTTTTTCGGCTGCATGGTGAAGTGGTGATTGTTTAAACTGTGACTGCAGGGACAGAGATGACAAAAGAGATGGCAAGATAGTCCTATCCCCTTTATTTCAATAAGCTCCATACCTATAAGCGATTAACCTTCAAAACTGACCATCACCTGTAATGAGTATCCTCGCTCTCTTATCTTATTCCTACTGTCGTTGTCCCTTAGTCTAAAGGCGGAGTTCAACAACACTAACATGTTCTTTGAAGAGGTTCATTAGTTACGTAAAATTAACAGTTAATAGAACATTCGTCAATCAGGGATAGTTTTGAGGTCGATGTCGAATGTACATCTTGTTCATGGAGTAACCTAGTCTCCACCTTAAGAAGGTCTTGGACTTTTCAAAATTTAAACCTAAGGAATTTACTGCAATATCCTTTTAAGGTTAAAACCGTCTCTCACATAACCGGTACATTTTTTCTTTACCTTCAAAAGTCATCCTGTTCAGTATCTAATACCCTTATTGTGCAATAGAAAACTGTATGCCATGAGAATATGCTGTGTTGGTTCCACTGTCGCCACTGAAGACGGTATCCTGTGTCTTGAAACGTCTGTGAACCGGTTTAGTTTGATCAAGAGGAAAGAAGTACGTATAGAAGAAACTAAGCCGTACAACAGCCAAGGGGGAAAGTATCCACTGGCAATACACAATAATTTACTCTCCAAGCAGAGGTTTGGGTTTTGGGGGTATTTTTAGTGTGTTTTTAGGCTTTTTTATCTGGGTTTCTCTTTTGCACTGAATTTTTTTTCCCACCAAACCCAAGTTGGGTTTGGTGGGAAAAAAAATTCAGTGCAAAAGAGAAACCCAGATAAAAAAGCCTAAAAACACACTAAAAATACCCCCAAAACCCAAACCTCTGTTTGGAGAGTAACAATAATTTACAGTGGCGTCGGGTGGTGAAGTGGTTAGAGCAATCGACTATGAACGGGGAGACCGGGAGATTCCGAGTCGTACCCGGTACATGCGACCCGACGTTGTGCCCTTGGGAAAGGCACTTTACACGACTTTTCTCACTCAACCCAGGTGTGAATGGGTACCTAACTTCGGTTGAGGAAAGTATAATGGCAGCCGCACAGACCCTTGCGACAGTTCCACAAAAATAATTGTGGAACAAATATGTGTATCATGTGTATTATTTGATTGTTGTAATTGTTGTGATTTGTATTGATTATTATGTTATACCCTGCATCAATTCAGCCGCATAAAGGCTGCGACTGCACGGGTACTGTTTGGACAATAAAAAAACCAATACCCCCTGACCTGACCAGTCATGAATTCAAAACATGTTTGCAACTAGAAAGGCCAACATTTGCTTCGGAGCAAATGTAATATTTCACTCCATCTCCCTCCCCATACAAAAATAGAAGATTCTGAATAAATCATACTGCAATTATACAAGGACAAGCTTTTTGAATCTCGACAGATATTTACAAAAATGGCACTTGGCCATTATCTCCCTTATTTTTTTACAAAGATACAACGACAAGCACTTTAAATCTCGACAGCTTTACTTTACACTTATCTCAATCTCAAGTTATATATTGCAGGTATCTAAATACTACTAATGACGAAATTGCAACTACTACTAACGGTAGCAAAATTTTCACGGTCTGAGAAACATGGACATGTTCGCGGAACTATATATTCACGGTGGTGACAGTTGCAGGAAAAAGAAAGTCCAGGAATTATTCCCTAACTGTAATGATAAGTTCACGGTACAGAGGTGACAGTGAAACCGTGAACATAGACCTCCCGCTTGCGTTACGTTGCGGTACAGTGAAAAAAAATTGGGAATTACAGTAATAAATTTACAGAGTATGTTTGCTTAGTTTCCAGATGTTTTGTATCATTGTCGTAAACTTAGCTTTAAATTAACGAAAACCGATGCGCGCACAGATGCCATCCATACAATCAAATCAACATGGCCTTAATTATTAACAATCACATAAACTATGAAGCCATACATTGAATAAGCTATACATATAATATGATTATCATAACCTTTATTTTTAAAATCATGCCAGTGAGCTAATTGCATGTACAGAGTGAAAGAAAGTAAAGTAAAGTAAAGCAGTAGAATTTCTGTACTAGCTGTGATAGTACTTCATATGATTCGTCCTCATCGTCATCATTCAATGTGGTCTATCTCTTGCTACTAGTGACTGGTAATACCTCTGTAGATTCTTCACACTGGCACAGTGCCGTACTCCTTCTCTCTTGTCAGCTCCATACTTTTGTGACAACATCAAAGTGATTTTAGTTTGTATGTTGGAAAAATACAAAAGACTAACATTTTAAGTAATTGACATTCTTGAGTAAGAACAATCAGTTTTTGAATGTTAAAAGAAAAACAACGAAAAGAAAATAAAAATGTTGAAATTGTTAAAATGCAGAATTGTTAAAATTGTTAAAACTGATAAAATTGTTAAAACTGATAAAATTGTTAAAACTGATAAAATTGTTAAAAATGTTAAAGGCACTCTATGTAGTTTTTTGCGCAAAAATTTGGAATATTCTAATTATACTAAATTTCAGTGTTATTAACAGTTACTATCACTTTTCAACACATTTGTGTCATTATTTCACATTTTTACGTATATTTTGTCCGTTCAAACAGTCCTTGTTTGGTACCCGGTGCCACCGGTTTGCTCAGGACAACAACAACAACATACAGGGGTTGCCCCCTAGGGTGGCTAATTGGGCCGGGCATGCCAGGCTTGATTGACAGGGGCACATGTAACAAGATATAGCCTCCTTAGAAAAACACTCATATCTTTCACATGAGGTCTGGTGGAATATAATTATCAACTTGTAGTATTTTGTTGGGCATGAATAAACTGTGGTCATTATCCTTTCAAAAGAGATAAAAAATCTGGTAAACGGTTAGGTATTTCAGAAACTTGTAAATCAACTGACACCCCACTGGGATGTAGGTCAAACCACTAGCAGTGGACAATACAATGTACCATATGTGCGGTTTGGCCAGAGGTTGTATAGAAGATCATTCACAGTTTTCTAAGCTTCTAAGGAGCAAGGATGTTGTATTTTTTGTTGAGGAGTATGATTTTGGAATACTAAAGGGTTAAGTCAATGTACTATGTAAAGAAAAGAATGAAAAATATACTTTTTGTATTGTCAGAAAACTACATAGAGTGCCTTTAATATCCGATGCACTGGGGTTCGAACTCACAATTTCTGGGATTGCCGCCTTGCGCGTTACCAACCGAGCTAACTCGGTGCGATACACATCACTCACTGCATTGTATGTCATATAAAGTAAACAGCATGGCAGTATCGATCGCTTCAAGGCACCAAGACTTTCAAATATTAACTACGGGGTTTTCCTTCTTTATCAGGTTTGCTTTTGAACCACCTTGATATTACTTAACTATCAACCCGGCTAGCAGAAGCCGCCGGCTCCTTTGATATTACAGCCGCTCCCTGTCCAATCTTCGAAAACAGTTGGGCATGCAAGCCCTCGACGCTCGCCAGGAAACCGTCTCGCGATGTTCTCAACAACAACAAACGAACGCCTGTCCACTCTACAATTTTGGTGATTCTTCGGAGATCGATAACAGAACCTAGATAATACTAGTTGGTAAAGATTGCGTAAAATTGTTGATACCGTGGCGCGCGCGCCGACGATACACATTACGTACCGCGTAACTTTTTTGTTTACACGCCGGGCGCAGGTCATTGACCTCCAACTTGCGTTGTTCCAACAGAGAAGAGCAAAATGTCTGGCTCCCGCAGAACGTACCGCACTCTCCCGCTGGACGTACCGCACTCTCCCGCAGAACGTATCGCACTCTCCCGGAGGACGTCCCGCACTCTCCCGAGGGAAGTCCCGCACAGCGTCCTGCACTCTCCCGCAGAACGTCCCTCGAAAATTGATGCGTATTTCGTGGCCTGTGCTGTACCTACCAAAACACTTGAGTTCATATTGTCAAAATGGAATGGCTTTGAACAGGTGTTAATTGAGTTAATCCAATCAAATCCAACAGCCAATCAGCAAGAAGAATAGATTGGTCTGCGTCAGGTTCATGCTTGCATGCCCATATATGGGCATGCCGCCGAATTCCTTTCTTATTACGTCACGCGCGTACGCCCCCACAGTACTTTCCTATGGGGACCGTTAAAAAAGCAAATAAAACGATTGTAAAAGCTTGTATCAAAAAAATTTAAAAAACGCCTAGGGGTATTTACCCACTCTACCTCTATACGAAATTCCAGGTAATTTCGCCCAAAAATGAAGGAGTTGAATCAATTTAAAGAAGTGGCAGGAGAAGAAGGAGGAGGAGGAGGAGAAGGAGAAGAAACATCAGAAAAAGCAGTATTTCACTCCATACTAGTATGGAGTGAAATAATAAAAGAACTGGTTCCGCCCTACTCACCATGTTGACACAGTTGACATCCACTCCCTGTTGGAGCAGCTCCGTCACTGTCTCTTCATCTCCTTCAGCAGCTGCATCATAGAGTTTCTGAACAAAGTGGCGTTCATTATCATAATACAGCAGTAATGAAACCAATAAAGATATAGCAAAAAGGTAATATTATAATTCGTCCTTCTATGGGTATCTGGGTTATCTGATGATAATCTTTTTTCAAAATAAGGATGCAAAGTTATTGGTATTATTATGGAAATTATTTCCTAAACGCGATGAGAACTAACACTTTAAGTTTGCTGCCGATATTACTTTCGTTTGAAATTATACATGTCACCAGTTTAAATAGTCTTATCATGCAACGCGGGAAATTTACATTAATTGTTTATCAATTATGCCTGTCAGATCCCAATTTAATAACAACACATACCCTACATACATTCAAAAAATTACGACGATCCGCCAACCTGTTCCTGAGTTATCCTCCTTCAAAGACAAGCTGCTAGAGGGCTGAAAATTTCACCACTTACTCCTAGCCCCAAGAGCTTTTGGCATCTTGGGAAAATATGATCTCTTATTTGTAGCTACTCTGCAGTACGGTAGGTATCCGCTCGGAGGCCCATTATCAAACGTGACCCCCAACCTTGCTGTCCCTACCCGTCAACCAAATATGATGAAAATAGAAACATCCACAGCTTCGTATTCTGAAGTTATGGTGTACACACATAAAAAGACAGACACAACCAGCTACAGTAACGATGGAAAACGACATGTGAACCGTTTTCGAACTTGAGCTTTGTTTTCACAACCGCTCCTTACCTACCAAAATATGATTAAAATCCATTCACTGGTTCTCGAGTTATGTATACGTAGAAATAACAAATACATAAAACGCTTGCTGTAGTAGGTGTATGGTGCACCATTTTTGAACTTCTTTTCTACAGCTGCTATTCACTATGTGCAGACAACGGCCGTCGTTGTGGGCTATATTCATATAATCTGTTCGTGATCTAAGGTCTCATTCCGGTATTCTTCCGCGTGGGTACTCTAAAGTAGATCGTACTAAAAATTAAATGCGTGTATGGATGTGTGTTTATATCCGCCAGAAATTGCATTTTAGCTAAGTCAGTTGGCGTAAACCGCTTGTGATATGAGAGGTTGTTTGTATGTGCTAAAATTAGTGGGTAAGTGTTGACATCCGCGCGACAGGTCGGATGTTTACACGCTGTTGTGATGGGTAATGCGGTCAGGAGGTAGCAGCGCTGGAGGACCTCTGGCGGAGAGTGGCCAAGTGCAGTTTATAAATAAATAAAAAGAGATTGTTGGGTTAGATCTGGTTGGGAATTTTTTGACGTAATGTAGGGCCATTGTGCTCAAAATTGATTGGATAGACTAGATGGCTGTCATTCAAATTATTGGGTTTTGGCCTATGTAAAGTTACGTATTTTGCCATAGGCGGCTATAGTTAACAAAAACTCACGAATGGGACCCTAAGGAGCCATGGCACTGATTTGATTGACCCTTGACCTCTTCTGCCGCGGCTCCTGCAATCTTACTTCCGGGTTCCGCACGGATCGCCGCACACAATGACGCGTTCATGTCGGAAATACCCCCAGTAATATTATTACATACAGGTTCCGCATACAGGCACTGCATGTGCAATCCGTATTTATTATACAGGAGCTGTAGGCCAAGGGGTTGAAGCATTTAGCAACCCTTATGCATAAGGCCGCTGGGTCACTTACACGGTACACCAATATCATTGTTATAACAGTGAAGAAGACACACCAAATCTTCAAAGATTTTACGCATACTATCGGACATTAATCAAAGGATGTGTAGTACTAGTAGTCTCTATTAACACAATGGTAACTGTTACACCACAATTCCAACCAACCAATCAACTTACGTACCAGAAGTATACATAAACCACACTAGCAACTCCACAACACAACGCAACTCCACAAAGCACAACACCGTGAATGCAAACAAAATGTTTACCTTTTCCAGTTCCTCCTTTGGATTGGACATCTTGCTTGACTTGTGTGTTTCTGACGAAAGTTTCGCCACTTGAGCCTCAGAAGATTTGCAGGTAATTATGTGTTCCTTTTCCTCGATCGGAAAGTTTCACGACGGGGTTATAATTACGTTACGCGTTTCCGCCTACCTGTCCGCCATCTTGTGTGACTGGTCGGTCACGGTGGATCACTTTCACAATACCGTACCAAACATGACGTAATTCGGACTGTTCCATTCTATGTAGGTATTTGCTACTTTGGTATCATGGCCAAAAGGGAAAATACCTAGTTACATTATTTTTCGGCGATCGTGACTTTTTGTAAGGGACTATTTTTAGTACGTCTAAGGTTATAAAATGAGCTGTTTGTCTTCGAATAACATTGATCGTAAGAAATTGGTAGTATAAGTGTCTTGACAATCACCAGTAAATTTGTGTGTCAAAGGAGATTTATGCCGGTGTATAAAATCATTAGGTCATGAGGTCCAAACGTTAGTATCAGTAGAAGATATTAAGGAGGTTGCCATTCAATCAAGTGTTGCTAAAAACTGTTCCATATTTTATGATAAATTAATTTATTAATATTTGTCTTGTCTATCTGCCTGTGTACTTGTTTCTGTGCATATCACCTACGTTCACCCCACCAATTTAAGTGAGCAACCAACATATCGCAAAAATTATCATTAACTTTTATCATTCTATAAATCAACCCCAAAATACTCAGCAAACATTAAAAACTATTTGATTAACATTTTCTAGTTTACATTCAAATTTGGTTTATTATAGAAAAGTCTTGCTTGTGAGGACGTCCCATTAATTGAAATCCCGTCCTATGAAAATAATTAGTTCTTCGAGTGGTTTATTTAGATTTATAAACATGTTGATAAAACTTTGTGTTGATAAAACTTGAGTGATGCAGAGTGCAAGAGAAATAACAGCTCTTTCCCACAATCAGTCGCTAATTGACCCATAACCATAAAACCTTCTCCTTTTGTATTGTATATTGTAAATTGTATAATAAGCCGGTAAAATGCCTATTTGCATAACACACAACTTTTGTTGAATATGTAAACTCATCTAGTACTTCAGGAATATGCAAAGGTGCCTCCAAACACATGTAACTACGTTTAACAATGCCGGAAGTGGAGTACCTTGTTGTAATTTACTTGCACACAACACCTCTTAATCATTTCCTTATCTTTTATATTGGCATAGTTATTCTTCGTTGTAACCTTAGTCTACTTTGTTATCCGTCTGTATTTGTTTTTGATTCACTTTTGTAATGTTCGATGGCGACACGAACATAAGCCTCGAGCTTGAGTATGTCGTCATCTTGCCCTTTTTAAAATGTTACAATAAAAAAACAATGTTTTGCACGACGTCTTACTGCAGAAGGCTAAATTTAGGCCAAAGATAAAGACTTATAGATTATGCATGACTTAGTACCAGGTCAACAACTTAGATTGTCGACCGGTGTTCCTTAAGATGACAGCAAGTCAGGACCGCTGGTGAGCAAGGTTGGCCTTGTCCAATCTTGCGCTTGAAGGTACTGGCTGTAAAAGCACATGTTGTCATGGTTTCTCCATGGCTGCAGAAAATACAGACAAAGGCTTGTAACGATGAATGAACACAACAAGACGACATCCATGACTTGGCAGACGGAAGCCATCGCTCTACCATGGAGCAAATACAACACATTGATATGGTACTAATTAAAATAATTTCCCTTCTTTTGCCATGAATTTAATTTATTGCCATACAAATCTTATTAGTCCTTATCCATTTGAATGACGACAGATATGTGATATGTATATTTTGTATGGCTATTTAAAAGGTAAAGGTACGGTTATCTGTTACCTTCACGGACGGCAGCTTACTTCTTCGCCTCTTTTTGTTGTGGCCTGCCTGTGATGGGGGAGAAAAATGACAATGAATTTAACACGACGACACACTAGTCAATTGTCTTATTAATATAATTTTAATATTATATTGTAATACAGAAGTAAGAGGTTTATTCAGCCGACGTTTCGGTGACCGTCTGTCACCATCCTCAGACGATTCAGACTGGTTCATATTGCACAACACAGCTGTCGCTGCTATAGAAGCGTTCCAGAAAGGAAAGTACAGGTCTTCACTGTGCAATATGAACCAGAATTTGGTGAGGAAGGTGACAGACTGTTAACGAAACGTCATCTGAATGAACCTCTTGGTTATGTAAAAGAGTCTCTTCTTTTCGTCACTTACCAACCTGATGAAGCTATTCACCGTAAAAACACGATATAATGAAGAACGCGGTAATGACAAAAATCATTTACGCTCCCACTGTTCTGTTTGAATATTAAATCTACACTTGTGCGAAGCAATACATACCCATTTGCGATAAATGTTCACTTAGACCATCCACAACTCTCTGCAGCCCTGCTTTTGACAGAGCCTCCGTCAGGACCTCTTTGGTAGCGGAGTTCCCTCCCCGCTTCTGCCACTCCCTCAACATGTCCATACAGCGGGACTTGTCGTCGGGGTTAGCTTGTTTGCCTTCAATGTTTCTGATGTCAGGATCCGCAAAGCCGAGATGGAAAGCCAAATCCTTCCAGTCCGTGCTCACGTTTTCCTTGATGAAGAAAAAGTACTTCCCCACGTCTGAAATATAGTGTTAAGCTGTTAAACACAATTTTGGCCCTTTTTGTGCATTTTGTTCGGAGCACACACGATGATTCTCATGGACTAATATTTCCAAAAAAATAGTAACCTGTTATTGGTCAGGTGGAGCAAGTTTCAGTAGGTCAATGAAGTCATCATCAGGTCAATCACAGTGACCTGTCTCTGCAAGAAACTATATCAGTCTAGCTGTCATGTATCTACATAGTATTACGCATGCTATCTAATGTTACAGTGTAAGAATGTGTACAGCAAATGTTGGAGTATTGTTGCTTACACACTGCATTGAAAATCTTGCAGGCATCCAGATGACGGCGTTGTCTTTAAGAAGAAACCCCTATCTAACGCCTTCCGTACATAAGCCATTGTTGTATTACTGATAATGATATAATTATCGCCTTTTTCTTTGTAAAATGTTTTCTTACCTTTGAAGGTTGCCCCACCTGTAACTCCTTTTGATGTCTGAAAATGTAAGTACATGTACAACGTATTATTTAATTCTTGTAATTTTGGTACATAATGTACATTAACTAGTGAAATGTATTACATCATTATGTATTTGGTTTGTTTTTGTCTATGTTGTATAAATCAATATGGAGCCTAAAGTGCCTAAAATGACATAATAAAAATGCGTTATTCCATCAACCTCACATTATTTAACGTATGGACATTGGTTGGTAATTTTTATGCAAAGTTGTGACTATTTGCTCCTTTTCTAAAAAAAGGTTTTTTTTTTTACCTTTCTTGCACTTTCACACGGCACATAGATTGGGAGCGCGCAAAGCTCTTTTGGTTGCAGAACTTCCGCGTCGGAAGAGTGCCCGAGTTTCTCAAGTTTCTTACGCATGTTCCTTATTTTTGCTTTCGTATCTTTCTCCTTTCGGACTTTGACGCGTGGCATGGCGAGGAACGCAACAGTCCCGGTGCCGTCTGAACCATCGTGGCTCTCCACCTGCATGTGGAGACGGTTGAGCTTCTGACTGTGGAAGGTGATGTGTTGTTGTGTGCAGGATGGCGCGATCGACACGTTACCCAGCAAACATATTTCTACTTTTTGTCCTTCGAATATGGTTACTTTGTCAGACGGCAACGGACCATCGTAGCCCTTTTGCATCAGATCTGCGTGTTCTGTTTCTGCATCTTCTGCGGGTTTGCATTCTATGACGACTTGTTTCATGTTGTCCTCTCGCTGCATCAGTATGAACTGTACGGCACGGTGCTGAAGCCATCGGCAAAGGTTTAGGGGTATAGGGCCTAGTTCCTCTGGGTCATCGTAGATGTCTGTGACAACGACCACAATCCACCTGGAAATGAAGTAGACAGTTGTATGTTGACACTACTACGTTGTCAAATCCATAGATGTTCAGTTTAAACAGATCAATGTATGAAACGCCAATACATTTTGATTGAATATAAATGAAAGTTTTTTTTTGTCGTTGTACTCAATCAAAGGCATGGGAAACGTTCACAGTATACGTATTATAGTACGCGATACCAAAAGATCACTATTTTTTCGCCTTTAGTTTCTAATGTAAAATAAAGAATATCTATCATAAAATTACCTGGTAAAATGGGAGACTTCAAACTCCACAAACTCCTCTGTGACGCTGCTGATAGTGATGTTGTCCGTCACATCCATCCATTCTTCTGTCCCCTCCTCACATGACATCACCCTCAGTTTGGTGGGTCCCTCATGTTGGACGTCCATGTAGTGTTGAGGATGTGGGACTCGCACTGTGACCGGTTTGTGGAACTGGACTTCGGCGTCCGACACAGTCTCGACATTGACTATCGGGCTGGTGCCGACAAGCTTGTGGAAAGACTCGTCCTTTGCCTTGATTTCATCAACAGCTGTTTTGGGAATTTCTTGTACCTACCGTTAAAGTAAACCACTGTGTTATATCCAATGAATTATAGTTCTGAAGTAGATTTATGAACCAAACTACATTGCTGTACATCATAACGTCAATGGATTTGGCAGCAAAAAGGCAGAATACTCGTACTCACATGAAGACCTATTAATAGTACATACAGTGACCCAAAAATTTTGTGACTTCTATTAGATCTCTAGCGATTACCACATTACTCACAGTACTACGTAGTCATTCGTGAATCAAACATGACTAAACAACAAGGTATTTGTGGATTAAAAAAAAACTTCTAAAGTACCCTTTACACCTTGTCAAACTGAAAGCAATCCTGACCTGTATTGTGACATCGGTTGGTGTGGTCACAGTCTGTTCCGGGAAGCTGATTTGTACCGCAGGCTGGGTTGATGACGTCAGCTTAAACCCTTCTGTTGGCACAGTAAACTGGTCCTGTTTGGGTTGATTGATGACGGCAAAGATGGAGAAGTGGTCCACTGATACTGCGACACTGTCTTCACCCTGAAATGGAAATTGGTTGTTGCAATATCTAGTTTGGAAGACACCCTCCTATCGAGAAGATTATGAAATACTGTTCTCTTTGGGGATGTTTATGTTTGTGCACCTACTTTTCGACTGGTTTTTAGTTCCTTCCATTGTGACCTGTCCTCACTGACCCACACAGCGAGTTCCCTGTCGCCACCTAACGACGTGTTGTTGTACTGCATCTGCACAGTGACAGGTTGGTGGAAGGTTGTCCCGTGCGGACCCAGCTCTATGATGTCACTCACTAACATCTCTCCGTCCTTTAAGGGGAGAGTGACGTCATTGGGGTCGATGACCTGACAGGCGATTTCTGTTTCCATGGTAACGGCTCCACGCGGTGCAGTGACGGTACAGGAAGTGGCTTGTAGTTCACCTCCTTCTGGACCCACCTCTCGTCTGTAACACCTGTGAAAGAACATTGAATTCCATCATACATACTTCACTTAAAAGGAATGTGTGTGCATCATCATCAATGTGAGATAAATTTTTAAAAAGTATCAATGTGAGATATATTTTTAAAAAGTAACTTATCTTAGCAGGTAACCATGCTCCCTACAGCAAAAATATGGCCGCGTCAGTTGTTTGACATATGAAAAAAAGTATACGCACAACATGCCTGTAGCCTAAGTTCTCGCTAGGTGCACGGTAAATTGGTATCGCTTCATAAACATGGATAGTGTCCAAACAGGACCAACCTACCGGACCAACTTTTCTGCCTCAAAAAGCCGGAGGATCAGTTTCCTTCCCTCCAGGACACTCTCTTTATCATGATCATACCGGGATGGAACGTATGTACTTGCTGCCCTGTCCTCAGGAGTCTCGCCGCGCTACACAGAAAACAGCACCCATGAGACCAACACGTTAAAGGTAATTTGAAGACAATATTTAGGGAATTTGGGACATCATACAACGCATTAACGCATTGTTGCAGAAAAAAATTAAAGAATGTTAGCATTATGCTATCTTTGATACTTTAAGATGATCAAGAGGATCACAAACCCTATGGATCATTTGCTCTTTACATGACAATGTACATGATAGTTAAACATGTCTCTTCATACGTAAAACCTATAAGCACGGGCACCTCGCTGTCTTTTAGAGTCAATGTGTCAATATCAGTAACCATTTGTACAATATTAGTAACCATGTACAGTGTTAATTTGGATTTATTGTTTTTAGTATTAGGTATACTAATCTAAGGTGACCATTATGAAACCATAAGTTTTTAAATTGTTACAGAAAGTTGGTACTATATACACACCTAACATTAAACACTGAATTATATGAACATGCCAAGATCAGGTCTCGTATGATTCCTAATGTTCAATAAAAAATAACAAATCCTAAAAAAAGAAGCAAGTCTCCATTATCATGATTACATGGAAACACCTGAAGAACATAAACAACCCAAACATGATTTCCAAGATGGCGGCGAAAGACTGACGTTAGGCGCCAAGCTCCCGCATTTTTGAACATTTTCCACGTTTAGCTGCAACTACGCCGTGTACTCCCCGCTATCTGATACCGGATCTTCTGTGGAGTTCTTGCTGTCCTTCTTGTCTGGATGGGAAAGCGAAATAGGACCTCTGGAAGCAGCGCGAGTGCCGAGGAATCCAGCCCCACTCAGCGGAACCCCCCTCCCACGAAAACACCTAAGATGGCGTCCACCGAAAAAACTGCAACTGTGAGTTTGTCTTCGCTCTCTCCAGAACTTCAAAATCTTGCCAGTGTGATTTTAGAACAAACCAAAAAACAACAAGAAGCTGTTGGAGATAGGCTTTCGAGCCAAATTCAGTGTTTGGATGTAAAAGTAGATGGCCTGTCTAGTGAGGTCAACGTGCTACGTGAACGTGTACGGGAGTTAGAGAAGACGGCCGAGTTCTACTCTGGCGAGTTGGATACTCTCCGCGATGCTCTACGCGAGGAACAGAGAGAGAGGGTGAGGGCAGTCTTATTGACTGAAAGATACTCTATGAAGCCGGATGTAATCGTTAGAGGTTTGCCCTTCAACAAGGAGGAAGACTCTGCGCGGGTCCTGTCACGTTTCCTGGCGGAGGAGTTACACTTACCGGCCGCGGACGCTATGCCGACCGCCGCAGTGCATCGACTGTCCAGGCCGACTACCTCGCGTCCCAACCCGCCCTGCTCGCTACGTTTTGTCAACTTCCAGGACCGTGATAAAGTCTTGTCTGCTGGGCGCAGGCTAAGGGGGAACTCTCGTGGATTAGCAGTTTACGAACACCTCCCCCACCCCTACAGACGGCGCGATCGCAGCTTGTAAATGAAAGAAACGCTGAACTTGCTAAAGACAACAACAATAAGGTATCTATCCTTGTACCTGCCAAGGATACCTACGCTGTATTGCTTGTCAACGGAAAAGAAAAGAGAAGAATTGATGCAGTTGACATTGTGCTGTCAAAAAGAGATGTGTGATTGGTCTCTGATAGATTTTCTTTGACTTTGAGTCTGTTATGAATATGATATTCCAACTTTAGACGGTTATCAAACTGCACCAGGATATTATGAGAATACTAAGTATGATTACTTTTTTGATATGTTTCAATTTTGTATTCTCTGGCAGTGTTATTGACGACAAACTTTTTTGTATATATTTCTGATACTCTGTAATTGATGGTGAATGTGCACCACCTGTGGCTTTAAATTTGCATTAAAGTGGCTGACTTCACAGCTAGGTCTGAAGAATTTTTTTTTTTGACAGCTGCTAATTAAGAGTACCTAAAGTGCATGCCAGGCGAAAAGAAATCACTTCCTCGTAAGTTCGGCATACGTAAACATGTTATAACGATTTTGCATTATGTTGTGTTATTTTCAGTTTGTATTGGACCAATTTTAAGTTTATTTACTGTTACTTTACTTTGATTCATTTACGATAGACTACTAATCATGTTATGAGTTCTAGCTTGGACCCAAGCTTTGATTTATTTTTGTTATGTTATGTCATTATCAGTTTCTATAGCTAGATTTGACGAATTCTTATGATGATGTGGAAGTAAGTTGTGATTATGATATGATTTTCTGAGTTTTGAACTGGTCCAATCCTTATAATTTACTTTTGTTATAACATTTTGTTTTGGTGTGGATTTAACTGATGATAATGAATGGAGCGGATGAATGTATGACCACAAATCTATATCAACTTACCTTGGTGGCTTGTTAATATTTAGTTGCCACAAGTTACTTTTGTTTATGTTGCGTTGTATATTATTTTCTTTTCTTTTGCATGGCACAATGCAGTATACTGTATGTTTCAGATCGCATATAGATGTATTATTTACGTCTTTTTGTTTAAGCAACCCCAATTACTTGCACCAAATACCCTACTTGTGTTTCGCCTTCTGTGGTCGCCTAGAGTATTTTCTTACTTCTCGTTTTCTGCTCGGTCCCTATGGTGTTGCCAAAACTTAACATTTGCAGTTTCAATTGTAATGGACTGGGCGACCACAGAAAGCGTAATCAAGTATTCACATGGTTAAGAGACAAATCCTACAATATCTATTGCTTACAGGAAACTCACTCCACTTCTGTGAGTGAAGAAAGATGGAGGTCAGAGTGGGGGGGTCCAATTTTATTTAATCACGGTTCAAGTAATAGCAGAGGTTTAATGGTTTTACTCAAGGAAAATGTTGTTTATACTGTCCATCAGACACTGAGCGATGACTTAGGGCGATGGATTATATTAGATATTACTGTAGACTCCTTTCGATTTTGCCTAGCCAATATTTATGCCCCTAACACTGACGACCCATCCTTCTTTGTAGATATCGAAAACAATGTACAAGCTTTTACAACATCTGGATTATATAGTATCATTGTAGGGGATTTTAACACAGTATTAGATGTCAAAATGGACAGGGCTGGGCACCAAGTCTCCAATTACCATCCAAAATGTCTTATGGCCATTAATTCCTTTTGTGCTAATTTAGATCTGATTGATACTTATAGGTATAAACATCCCACAACCATACGTTACACATGGCGACGCAGACTTCAGGCTAGTCGCATAGATTATTTTTTGACGTCTTTTTCGTTAACTCCTTTTATAGAAAAAATTTGCATCGAGGATAGTTTGAGGTCAGATCATTTCTTAATTGGCCTTTCCTTGACTACGTCTGATACACCCCGTGGTCCTGGTTTTTGGAGACTTAACCAAGAGATGTTCAATGACCCAGTTTTTGTTAGAGAAACCTCAAACTTCATCACTGAGTTTTTCCTTTTTAATCAGAATACAGCAAATCCCCACATAGTATGGGAAGCCTTCAAGTGTGCCGTTCGCGGCCATGTAATTAAGTACTCGTCTTGGAAATCTAAACAAAGTCGGAATACTGAGATTTCTCTCACGTGTGAGATCAACAGCCTGCAGGAAGAATTAGACACAGTCCCCGATAATGAAATCTTTGACAAGTTACAGTGTAAAAAACAGGAATTAGAATTATTCTACCAAATGAAATCTAATAACCTTATAATGAGCAAACGTGCCAGGTGGATGGAACAAGGGGAAAAATGTACAAAATTCTTTATGAATCTTAATAGTAGAGGGAGGGTAAGAAATAACATGACAAAATTTGTTAATTCAGATGGCTCTGTTCTCCTTGATCCTGAGGATGTCTTAGTACATCAAACAAGTTTTTATGCTGACCTTTACTCATTTAAAGAGCCCCCTATATCGTTAGACAGAGATGTTTTTAGACCCTTCTTTCCTCAACCGCCCCCAGTGAATTTGTCCCCCGGCCAGTGCGATAGCTGCGAAAAATTGATAACAGAATTTGAATTACAAAAAGCGATTGAGTCATTCTCCTCAGGAAGGTCACCCGGTCTGGATGGCCTTCCTGTTGAATTTTATAAGGTCTTTTTTCACCGTGTTAAACAACCACTGTTAGCCTCTTTTAATTATTCATTTCGGGTGGGACACTTGTCTGAAAGTCAAAAAATAGGACTTATTACTCTACTTCTTAAGCAGGACTCCACGGGAAAGGATAAAGACCCCTCTTTCATTAAAAATTGGCGACCCATCACTTTATTAAATTGCGACACCCGTATCTTATCTAAATGTATGGCCCTTCGTATAAAAAATGTCATCCCCGATCTTGTTTCATTTGACCAGACTGGCTTTATGCAGGGACGAAGTATTGGTGATACTATAAGAAGACTGCTAGAAATTATAGAATATTACGATAAAAATGAACTTCCCGGATTAATATTTTGTGCCGACTTTGAGAAAGCATTTGATACAATTAGACAAGATTTTATTATTAGGGTTTTGGAATATTTTGGTTTTGGAGATAATTTTATTGCATGGGTAAAAATTTTGTATAAAGATATTTTCAGTAAAATTATTAATAATGGCTATATTTCTAATGCGTTCCCCCTGAACCGTGGAGTCCGGCAAGGATGCCCCATCTCCCCTTATTTGTTTGTGTTAGCTGTAGAATTACTTGCAATCAAAATAAGAAATAACATGGAAATAAAGGGTCTAACAACATATGGTCTTGAAAGTAAGATTTTACAATATGCCGATGATTCGAATTTCCCCCTTGTCCCAAAGCTTTGCTCGTTATATGCGCTAGTGAAAGACTTAGAAGATTTTGCACTGTTGTCTGGTTTAACTCCAAACTTTGATAAATGCATGGTAATTCGTATAGGTTCGTTAAGAGATACCAATTTTTTCTTACCCAGTTCCTTACCTTTAAAATGGACCGACGGCCCTTTTGACAATTTAGGGATTCATATTCCCAAAAACTTAGCTGATATTGTAAATATTAACTTTGACAGAAAAGAGACAAAGATAGATAAAATTTTGAATCCCTGGAAAGGGAAATTTCTTTCTCTTTTAGGGAAGATTACCCTTATTAACTCGTTAGTAGTGTCACAATTTATATTTCTATTTCAGTCTCTTCCGTCTCCACCTCCTGCCTTTTTCGATAGATACGAGAAAAAAATATTTCAGTTTTTGTGGGGAGGGGGTCCAGAACGAGTAAAAAGGAAAACACTATATAATCTTTATGAACATGGGGGTCTTAAACTTAGAAACCTGCGTGCTGTTGATCTGACCATGAAGGCGTCTTGGGTTCCGAAGTTATACCATAGTGAAAAGTGGTTTTGTTCTAAATTGTTGTTTTTTTCTAGCCCTTTGTTTACTACGAATACATTTCCCTTTTGTCAGCTTACAATTAGTGACTTTGAAGCGCTGATAAAAGAGAAGGCTCCAATCAGTGTATTTTATAGACAAATCCTCCAAGCATGGCTGAAGTTCCAGCTACGCCCCCCTGAGAATGCCCTTGAAGTAAAGCAGCAACTACTTTGTCTGAATTCCCAAATCTGTATTGGTGGAAAACCATGCTTTTTAATGTCTCTTTATAGCAAAGGGATTCTTTTTGTGAATGACATTCTAGACTCAGCAAATAATTTTCTGTCTTTTGAAAATTATGCTTTGAAATTTGGTGACACCTGCTCGGAATTTGTGTATAATCAAATTATTTCAGCTATTCCCTTATCCTGGAAGAATCTCTTGAAACAGGTGTCACCGAATTTAAGTGTATGTGTTCCTGTCTGTAGAGACATAAGCTGGCTTCAGCAATCGAATATCAACAAATATCTGTACTCCTTTTTTATGCATGAAGCTAGGTTATGGGAATCTTCCGACAGAATACAATACTATTGGGAAGACTATTTGAATACTCCAGTGATGTGGAAAAAAGTGTATAGTTTAATTTATAAAACCTCTATTGACTCCCACATGCGTATATTCCAATATAAATTACTATTTAAATTTTTAACTACAAATAAAATGTTACACAGGTGGGGGTTAATAGAGTCCCCTTTATGTAGTTTCTGTAAGGAAGAGGAAGAGTCTCCCATGCATTTATTTTGGGAATGTAGATTTGCTGCACTGTTTTGGCAACAGGTGGAAGAATGGTACTTAAGCCATACTGGTTACCATTTACATGTTAGTCTTTGTAATGTTATGTTGGGGGATTTGAACGATAGGTGCCCAGTCCTGTCCAATCTCATTATTCTCTTGGGAAAATATTTTATATTTAAAAATCGACCTTGGTCACTTAACATAGAATCATTTATTTCTTATGTAACATATTACTTTAAGTTAGAAACCATTATTTCCAATCGGGTGGGCAAGACAAAAAAAACACAGGGGAAAATGGGGAAAGCTAATAGGTTTACTTTCATCTCCTTGAAGAAATTATAAATAAATTGTAATTGGGGTTGACTTTTTTTTAATACTTTGTAACACTCTGTTATATCATC